GCCGTTGAAGACTCCTTCATTATGGTCAGGCCTAAGGTTTCGTCAGTGATTAGGGGTCTAATCAGATGGTCACGTGATCGGAATGTGGCAATTTACGAGACTTCCAGATCGAGAAAGCTGAACTCCTTGCGAATCTTCCATCTGATAGGATAATGATCCTGCCGATATCTGGTCTTTGCCCAGCGAGCGCTTTTGCTTACCCTTTGGTAAGGATTGCTCAAGCCCCTCCACTTATCATGACAATGTGTACGTGCCTGTGTTCGTTATGGACTCAGACCGTGCGGTGCGTGTTCAAGAAACCTTGACGAAGGCATCCGCTTCTCATTGTCGTGCCATGTACTACAAAAAAGTTCGACTTGAACTCGTACTACGTGATTTGTGGTTGTTCGACTGGGAAGAGGACCACGAGCTCGACAGCGATAAGAACTTCTCCTCCACAGGTTCGGAAAACATAGTTTTGAAGGCGAAAAGAATCGCGGGAACTCTCAACTGAGGATGTGTCGTATGTTAAGGTCCAAGTCTGATGACTGAGTATTGTACTCCAGATCCCCGGACGCTTCGCTGCGCTGTCTTGTGTGTTTCCCCCGTAAATTAAGCTTTCACATAATAGTAACTCAACGGCTTTTGTAATAAATTTAAATTACCACTTTTTGGAAGTAGAGGGGGTTGTCTAGTGATCTCGTATCCCGTAAGTTAAGCTCGTCGATCTAAAATGCACGCCAATCTAAAACATAAGACAAGATAGCACAAACGTCGGTTCACACGATCCTCAAGAAAATCGGCTCCCACAATTAACAGCGAAACAAAACAGTAAAGAGAACGAAAGAGAGCACTCTCCTCAGCCACATACAAAAATAAACAACGAAGATCATTTCAAGCTTTAATCAATTTGTTCTTCAATTTCTCTCCCCTTCTCCATAAATGCCATCTCTCCATAAAATGCATGCCTACCGAACCAATTAAATAACATTAACACACTTCAGAAATGGAGCGCAATCACGTCGTGTTGACGCAAGACGAATATAACGAAATCATGGCACTTCTCAATTCGTACGAGGAGGAGATGGCCTCTATCATTCAAGCAATGAGCGATATGGAGGGCCGAGTTGAACGATCCGACCATCGGGCTTATGAAGCCCTGAGCCGGGCTTTAGGCAATCTCAAAGAACTACGACGCTATGAACAACACCCATAGTTTCAATAAGTAGTTTGTGACCAAGTCATAATGCCATCAATTTTAAGGGGTTAAAAACCCTTGCAATATTTTTTCCGTGATTCCACATGAATAAGTAACTTAATATAAATAAGAGTCTCTGAAGGATCTGATATGAAGGAATACTAATTCCAGAAATGGAAGCGAGACGCGACAATGCCGCACAGCAGCTCATCAGCAAGGTGCGCAACTTAGGCGCATGGTGCGCCACGCCAAACTCATCTACCGGCACGTAGAACAACACCTCATCAGTCTCGAACGGACAATAAGCGACGTAAGACGGATGGTAACATACGTCGACCATCACGATTAGATAAGCAGCACATTCGATACGACTAGAAATATTAAATATAACTTTGCTCGTGTACTTTAAAGCATAGCAAGGGAAACCGATCACCCACTTTGAAAATCACTTGGATATTAATGTTAAATAAGACACTAAATGCATGAAGAAGAATTCAAAAATATCAGAAGACTCCACCATCCCCGCGATTCAAAGCTTAACCATAATTCTTAAAGAATAGCTCGAAGATGAAACATTCAAATATAACTTTAAAGAAAACGGGTACATAAGAGCCTGAAGAGTCTCTTAAAATGACACTTAGCAATATAGGTTCGGAAAGAAACTCATCGTAGCTTAGTACGAGTGAATCAGTCAAGCATGAAAATACACAAATAATAACTGGTTGCACAAATAATGATTCTCGCATAAAGCCTTGATAAGTAACCTATGACACGAAACAGACCGGGATGTAAAAAGAGTCCAACCAAGATTCCAACCAATAATGAACCATAAACACATAATCGATACTTAATCAATGATGAACCAGGCAACGCACACAAGCCACGACAACGCCGAGAACACCCAGGCTATGCCGCTCCGACGGCAATTTTTGAAGCGGCGCGCCAATTAACAAACAGTGCGGCGAAACGAATCTCGGTGCGCTTGCCATCGGGGATTTCAGGGCTACATGCATCGGAAGAACTTTTCGAGCAACGAACAACACACGAAGAAAATGGAAAAGAAAAGATACCAATACTTCGAGAGAGGCTACAGAACTTCAAGGAATTCTGAAAATGATTTCCCCGAACCATCCATTAGCGCATACCAAAAGTTAACACTACCAAGCACGTATAGAAACAATATAAAAGCCGAACAAAATTGGAAAAAAAAACACTTGATAAAGCTCCGTCTTTTATGGTACATTATAATACTACACCTCTTTCACATAATACAACACTGCTTACCATACCATTCCTTAGTAACCCCCTACTCAAACTAACCTATATTGCATTACTCGCCTTAATATCGCAAGTTCGCAACGTTACCACTAGTAACGTACATATTTATAGGGTATGAACGACCCGAACCCCAGAAACGTGTGAGACCGACACCGGTGCCAATACAGCGAAATATTGGACAGCATCCTCCGTGAGATCCATTTCTTCACCATGCCAATCCAAAACATAAGGTAAGTAATTTCAAAACTTGGAAGGAAGCGGAAAAAAGAGAAGGAATTAACACTCCACTAAAGTACACTATTGCAGCAGCAGATATCTCAAATCTCGAAGGGGCGCTCGCCCAGCACGAACTAACTATTCTACGCCACCTGTATTCTACTAATCCGTCAAGAGCGTCCTGCTCAGCGCGCCTGGGGGCCACCATCATGTCAATCTAATATTTATGCAATGCTTCTTTAAAAATGTGACTGGGCATCGAAAAAGATAAAGGTGATATCTGCTATTATCTGGACTACAATCTTTCCATTAAAACATAGCACTTCGTAGGGCATAGTTAGGACGAACTACATTAAGTATTAAGAACAGACAGTTATCAAAGAAAAAACAAAATAAAATAAAAATAAAAAAATAAAAAAATAAAAAAACATATCATAATAAAAATATTAATATGAGTACATAAGAAAAAAATATGAAATAATCTGAAATTCTAAAACATTTCTGAATAAGATCATAATACTCCACATAATAAAAGGACGATACTTCATTCAAGTACCATACTAAACGAAAAAGGAAATAACTGTGTAAATTCCACAAGCTAAATAGTACTAAAATAAAAAGAAGAAATGGAGCGTTTAAAGTCCCGGGAAAGTTAACAAAGGCGAAAGAAAGGGACGCTTAGCAATTCTGTAACGCTAAAACCACACATTGAATGGAGCAATAACCTTCTTCTGGACTCTCACCTTTAAACTAAGTCACACCATGACAGAGGCTGCAAAGGAAGACTAGAAAGCTTACGGATACGCAAACTACGACTGAAAGGAAAACAAAACCAAAACGAAGTTGAAGACTGCCTGACTGAGGATAAACGATCGAAGATCTCTGACACTTCGATTCGCTTAAGCGGTGACACCCTCCTCGGAATCGAATGGATAAATCAATTTGAACAGTTTGTAAACACGATTGCGAACTTTTTCGTACATACACGTAAGTTTGCTCTATAGGATATCAGTGACATTAGGCGACAGCGACCAATATTAACGATAGAAGTCATTTTCCAAGACGCATAACGTGTATTTAAGCCAACACACAAATAGGCGGTGCCATGCAAACACGACAACCAGTAACAGAATGACTCTAACCGCACCAACAGTGACACCTCGGCTATGCGAAATGCAATTAACGATTCCTGCCTCATCATTCTTTCCATGTTTCCCACGATCATGTAGCATGTACACCTTTTACGCGGACAGTTCCATTAGGAAAGTCACGATAATCCATTACGGCCTCGTTTCCCACGCTCGTTTTCAGCGCACACGTCTCCCAGGCGAAGCCGCGCCGAACTACATTAAGAGCCACGGCCCACTGCGCAGTTACACTTCGAAACTCCTATTAAAGGCACGCCGCATGCAGATTAACCACTCCGATAATGACCAAAAAACAAAACAAAAGATGATGCAAACTGAGCAACTGGCAGCGAGCGATCACTATAAGAAGGGTTTACAACATAATCGCTCGGTTATCATATCAATTGCTACGCTATGAAGTAGCCAGACAATCTAGTTCAGCTAAACTACAGTGTCTTTCGCTTCCTCGCTTCTGTCTCATGTGAGTCTACCTTCTCGGACGCATAGATTGTTAAGCAAACAAGGACCCCTACCTGAAGAAGCTAATTTCAGATATGGCGGATCATGAATCCGACCATTTTAAGGCTGACTCCTTCGATGGAGACAATGCAAGCGTCAACAATGACCAAGACCACTTCCATCTTGAGGACAACGAAGACGAACCATACCAACCCAATAATGATGATGGTCACAACAACGATATAGCCAACCGCCAACAACCAGACGGGCAGAGGAGCTCAACGCTCTTCAGTCTGCCATTTCAAGAATTTCGAGAAAAGTCTCAACGAATCAGGTGAACCTTTCTCTGGGGTCATTAACCCTAAACATAACCCTAACTAATAGTGAGACCTTCCTACTTTAAGAAACGGAGCAATGGGGAACCCGCTTTCAAAGAACCCCACATCAAAAGGAAAAAAATTTCCGTTGACCAGGTACCTCCCCGAAAAAAATATAATTCAACTAAACCTAATACCAATTCATTCAGGTATGTCTGCGAGAAAGCGAACACCACATCTCGCAACTTGAACGTGCCACCCAACGTCTAACCGAAACCATGCAGCGTCGGGAAGACCAACAACAACCACGACAACAGCAACAGCAACCTGCCCCACGCGCCGATCAAAACCGGTGCCATCGTAACTCGCCACCTTCACTAGACAATAGAAGAAACCAAGCAAGTACCACCTGTGCATTCTGTGGCGATGAACACTGGGCCACAGATTGCACACAATACCGAACTCTTTCACAGAGACGTGCACAATGCTACAATAGAAACCGCTGTGAACGTTGTCTAAGAGAAGCCACTCATATGGTTACTTCTTGCAATATTAATGTTTCTACTGTAGGCGAGATCGCCGTACCAACGTAATGTCGCGCCACAATTCGGCGTTCTGCCCATACCAATTTCCAATGTAAGACCATCACAATTCTTATCATTGAATTATTCTCATAAAGAGATTCTTTGGGAACTCCGTACTCCCTTCACTTATTCGATAAATCAAGACTGACCCCGCCCACCCTGACAGGTATATAAGGAGCTCGACAGTCAGTCTGGTCATTCGAGCTTTACCGCCCGGTGACCGACTCGAAGCTCTCATCTACTTGCCTTCATGTCTTCATCAACATTCAAAATCACTACCACAAAGCAAAAGCTAACTAGAAAACTTAACATCCTCCATGAACTTATAGAGGATGCAAATGCTTACAAGCCCGAATAGGTCTTTCCATCTGACAACTTTGCACTTAAACTGTTCGTCCTAACGAATAAAATCTCAGTGGACAAACTTAAACACCAACTGGACAAACAAACTGAACAAACATGGACCCTCTACGAATCTAGCCTACAAACACTAACAGCAACGGAAGATAAGACACTGGAAAAAGCTTTCAGACTACTGAGGAAGAAAAGCAAGGCAATAAGACCATATCCATTGCAACGCTACTATCCCAACAACTCTACAAAAGACTAGTAGAACTAGAATGCCAAGCAGCCGCCTTCAATCTTTCACAAATCAACTCGACAAACCAAGGCAACAATAACTCCAAAGACGCAACCCAGGACTCACTCATTCAGCCACTGAATTCCTTAATGATTGATCAACGCCTATTCAGCGGCGATATAAAACTACCAGAATTCCATGGCAACCCATCGGAATTCGGTTCATTCTGGGAACTCTTTGAAGAACTCGTTCACAAACAACCCTTCTCCAACATAAGAAAGCTCTCCATTCTGCTTAGTTGTTGCAAAGGAGACGCAGCAAGATGCTTACGGATGATTCCTCGCACAGGGGACTCGTATGAAAAGGCAATCGAACAGCTAAAAGATCAATACGAAGACCCAAGGAGAATAACCATACACATGATCTGTCAACTCACATCAATGAAGCCAAGTAATAATGATCCACGTACCCTATGTAACAATCTTAATGACATCAAAGCCATCATAGCCACAATACAAAAACAAGGCGAAATGGTGGACAATACCTACATGACTACATTAGTAAAAAAAACATTCTAAAACAAATTCAAGAAGAAATCGCACATAAGCAATTCGATAGCGGAAGAGAATGGGCAATGAAAGATCTCCTTACGAACTTAACTACCATAATCAAACGAAGAGAATTTATTGAAAGCCGCAATGAATATTTACATGAACAACACTCAATTTTTCACATGCGCACTCATGAGTCAAGGATGCTTCAGTGCATTGGGTGCGGAAGACCTCATCAATTTGAAAACTGCGACAAATACCGGACAATTCCACAAAAGATAGAACGCCTCAAATCTCTAACCGCCTGTTGGAAATGTTTTAACCCACGCCATAAGACAATTCACTGTTACAGACCAGGCTGCGCTAACTGTGGTGGACATCATAACACAGCTATATGCCAACGATACCAAAACTCCCCAAGCCATCGCAAGCCCTTCCAACCATCACTTCAGCGTCCAACATCGATACCATACAATCGACAGCACCCATGGAAGTATAATACACTCCCTCGCTTTGCTACATTAAGACCACAAGCACTACAACGAATCTCCCAAGACAACAACGTCATACAGCGTCCGTATCGCTTTCCAAGCCGAGCATCACTTTCTCCACGAAGACCAAGACCAAACACACCACAAAGGAAGACGAGCAGTTCCCCATCAAGGGAAACAACTAATACTGTAACAAAACAATCGTCCGTCCCAGAACAGAGTAAGATTTGCTCCACTACCGAGAGATAATAAAAACACAAATCTTCATTCCCGTGCAACCCGTCTACAGCATCAACCTTCACGCTCTAATAAGACATCAACAATAAGAGAACCTAATTCAGCCTTTGTGAACTTTCAAGTAAACTTCCCATGTTACCGCGATAACACATTGGAATTCAGTAGTCAAACAACGCTACACGCTAGATTAATGATAGCTCCACTAAAAGTAAAGAATGAAAACAATCAGGAAGAAGAACAAGTATACGCACTTCTAGACTCCGCTTCAGACCAATCATTCATTTCCACGACACTATCCGACAGATTGCAACTTATTCCTAAATCAGAAACCTCATAATAGTTAATACGTTTGGAGGACATGCGGAGAAAAAACACGTAAAACGAGTCGACGCCTTATTATTGAACCCAAAGGAACAATCGTTAAAAGTTACCTTACTCACAAATGATACGATAACACATGCACTACCAATGTCAGAACTTAACATGGAAAATAAACTCTTCCTGGAAGACCAATTCCCTAATTTCGAACATTACTGGTTGTTAGACCCAACAACAGAAGTAATTCCCTGAAGTCTTACTAGGCATAGATTACTTCAACGTCATACTACATATAAATGAGCCAACCCTACAACTCCCTTCCAGGCTCCAGATGACACCAACATTCTTCGGACCTGTCATATCCGGGAAACCGCATGATACGATAGAGCCACCATCCGGCAACATCATTAACATAAATTCTCAATGTACTTACGAGCACAATGAGCCTGATTACTCGGATTTATGGAAATTGCCAGGAGTTGGTACAGAAGAATTGCACACCAGTGAAGAACTCAATCAACAAATAATTGCTAACTTCTACTCTACAGTAAGAATAAATGACGGCAAAATCTACGTTCAATTCCCATGGAAACCTAACAAGCTCTCTTTAGCAGACAACTACCACCTCAACTATACCGTTATCATCTCTCAACTCAACGGACATGGCAGAAAGGATTCTTCTTAAACTAATGCAACGTAACATAACAAAAGAATATAAACAGAAATGGGAACACCTAGGATTACATCCAGATGAAAACGTATTAATACGATGCCAAGGCCGTTTACGAGCCAAATATTTACCAAGAGATGTAATAGAACCTATTCTACTTTTACCAACTCAACACGTAACTGCACTCTTAATAAGAGACGCTCACGTCCGTTGTGGGCATCAAGGAGTAAACGGCACTCTTGCTAACCTCCGCCTCACATACTGGATACCGAAAGACAGACAAATAGTACGAAAATGCTTAAAACGTTGCCTAACATGCAAGAAATGGATAGGCAAGCAATACTTCTACCCAACATCTCTACCATTGCCAACAGCCAGAACCCAACCTACAAAACCATTCTCACACATTGGAATCGACTTAGCCGGACCGTTCACCATAGTCGATTCAGATCACAGAAAAATACATGAAATATCAAATCAGAAAAATCAAAAGATGGATCTTCTATCTACTTGCATGACTACGAGGGCAATACTTCTCGAAGTAGTTAAAGATCTAAGTGCACTTCAAATAATCAACGTCCTCAGAAGACTAATTTCCAGAAGAGGGAAACCGCAACTCATTATATCCGACAATGCCACTAATTTTAAGCGTAGCAATGACTTTCTTACATACACGGAGAAGGAAGACATCCTACAAGCTAAAGCGATACAACTTTTCCTAACCAATGAAAAAATACAATGGCAATTTATAACACCTCTTTCCCTTTGGAAAGGAGGTTTTTATGAACGCTTAATTGGCATTATGAAGTCAACATTAAAACGCGTGGTAGCAAAAAGAATACTAGACGAAACAGACTTCGCGACAATAGTCACAGAATGCGAAGCCATGGTAAATTCTCGACCACTTGCGTACTCAGGAAGCACTATCGAAGACTCGTTAATCATCCGTCCAATTGATTTTCTCATACCTAACGCTAACATCGATCCATTACTAAATACGAACCCTACGAGCGACAACACCGACCCAGAATACATACCCAAAATCTCAACAAGAGATCAAGCTATTAAGTACCTACAAAGTCAGTCAAACCATCTCAGGCATCTTTGGCAAGCTCGGCACACCGCGTATCTTCTTCAATTAAGAAACTATCATCAACGACGTATCAAACAAAAGAGCTTTACTAGAAAGCAGCCCCGTGTCGGAGAAGTGGTTCTCATCATGGATGAAGACATACCCCGAATCGACTGGCCGTTAGGACTCGTAACTAATCTAGTACAAGACCAAGATGGTGCAGTCAGATCAGTTAAACTACGAACCTCAAAATCAACTCTATAAAGATCAATCAACATGCTAATACCTCTAGAACTAAACGACGACACACGAGAAACACCATCCACAGATAACACTACAACAATGAGAAAGGAAATAGAGCCACACACGCAATCCAAAGAAATAACCGATCCCAGCAAAGTAGACTCAATAAACCCTGATATAACTAACGGTCTGCGATTACGTCCAATTCTTCCACGACAGGCAAAACTAAACAAAACCTACACTCATACGACAATAACAACGGACAAGAGAGATATATTTCTTAATCGTACAACCAACCACGCCATTAACGCCGTTATGGAAGCACTGGCTCACTATAGCACTAGCTCTCACATTAATTAACCCTACAACCTCACATAACCGACACACAATTCTTCACTGTGTGACAGGAGGAATCAATATACAGTCACATCATCAACCTGAGCGAATACAAGTATGTGGAAACGATTACTGCAATGAAATAAAAAAGCCCGACCAAAACATAACCGTTCAGTTCCCTCCTGAAGTAACATTACACACACATCACATTACTTTGAAATCAGTAATTAAGAATCCAACGGAGGCCACTCACTGGGCTTGTCCTCCGAGCCCTTTTTGCGAACAAATCAAATGCAACTTTTGCACACAAATGGTTTCAAACCCCGAATGCTGGCCAAGAATTGCAATCGCTGTAACAGCAATTCTCCTCTACCTCACAGTGCTAACGGCATATATAACGTTTCAAGTAACTCGTAAAGTTTTGAGAATTGTAACGTACACCTGCGCAAAACTGAAGCTTCGCAAGATCATAACAATGATCCTGCCAAGACGCTGCACACGCCGAGACTCAGACGACCAACATCCGCTACTGTAACTCGACAAAATTAACACAAAATGGAACAAAACTACCGTGATCCGACTAATCGCAATCCTCGCTCGCCTTCCCTCAACTACATACGGATGTCAACAGACAATCCTTCTACCAGCAAGCATCCAGTGTGACGACAACACTAAAACATGTCGCAATCAAACCACTTTGATGACAAAACTTAACCAAATGGAACCCGAAATGTGCATCCAATTACAACACCACGATCAGCAAGTCCATATGCACATTTCATTGAAAAACCTCATTCTTCGATGTCGCAAAGAAACCCTCTACTTTACACGAAATACAATCACTAAGGTTAAGTACCAAAAGCGCTGTCCAGGTAGAGGCACATGCACTAGGTTGAAATGCGCTAAAATCAACACTGATTCTTACGTCAACGAACTCCAAGAAGCAAATAATTACACAGGAACAACCTACTGCTCAGAATACTGCGGAGGACTAGGCTGCTCTTGCGGCTTTCCTTCATCAGGATGTCTGTTCTATCGCATATACCACAAACCACTCGACGAAGACATATACGAAATATTTCACTGTCCCACATGGTTCCAAACCATATCACTTGAACTTAAAATTAATAGAGCCCAACAAGTAATCAAAAGCTTCGAATCACAACCCTACGTCAAAAAACGCATCGCCAACACATCTTTTAAAATCACAAGCTTCTCATTTCCACCAATATCAATACTTTACCAGCGCTTCCTTACTAATGGAAAAACGACGGCATTTGTACGCCAAGACACACAATTCAGCTACGCATGCAGCAATAATATAAACACCAACAATATACTAAACAATAATATAAACACAACCAATACAACCGGCGACTGCACTATAAAGGACACCTGTAAATGCGGTCCTGCCGAAGATTATGTAAACTGCTATTGTCTCTACAATGTCTCTCAGTTCACACAATTATCAAATACACTACCTTTGCCAATACCAAGCGGTTTGGTCGCTACTGAAGGACTTAACAACATACCCACAATTAGAACAAGTACACTGTCAGCAGAGTTAATAATTCTGTTAGATCCACTCACAAAAGGTGTAATACAAGAAAGTGAGCATTTCCAATGTAACGTTCTCTCATACCCACTAATTGGATGCTACAATTGCCTCAAAGGGGCACAAGCAACAATTTTTTGCGAATCAGATGACCAAAAATCAATCGCACAAGTAACTTGCGACCACCATCAATTCACACTTACTTGCACTAGATTCGGTCTATACAACTACATCCTTTTGTTCTTTAATAAAGCCAGAATCCATGAATTATGCCAAGCTAAATGTGGTTCGCACACAACAATATTCACAATACAAGGTACGCTAAATTACATAAACGGGTTAACACCGTTTTGGAACTACATTAAACTATGGGACAACGTATCAAACACAGAATCCTCTTCACTATTCACCATCGATCTCTCTCTTCCCGATCTATCGCACTTCTTTCGCACTTGCACACAATTCCTCGTCTATTCAATAACTATCTTCTCCCTTCTTCTCAGCGCACTAACTCTAAGCCACAATCTCTTCTGCCCTACTAAACCACAAAACCAACACCATAAAACAACTCCAATCGAAATAATCTCCTTATTTCCTCCACTCCGCATCCTTCTCTTTCTTTTCTCTCTACTGAAACTCCTCATCTCACTCGCAACCAACATTCTACGACTTTCACTACGACTACTCGGCTCGGCTCGTCACGACTACTACGCCACTAGCGAACTACGAATTCAATGCCTGCTTCTCAACACAGCCAAAGCTATATCTCGACCAGCAACTCCACGACTTCCGAACAACTCCACATCAGAAGGTACACCATAATGTTAGGTTGTAGTTTAGATTTATGTTTTAAGAGAATTGTTAGTAGGTAACGTTAAGCAGATATCGCTGTATTTCTATTTATGTCAACCATTTCAATTTTCCTACAGTACTGTACTATTTTCCATACTTCTTAAGCAATGTAAGGTTAGCGTTATGCACGGTTGGCCTCAGAACCTACTTAACATATACACTTAAACATTACAACTAAAATAACACTCAAGTGACGGGGAGGATGAAAACGACAAATAATGCTTTTCATCAACCTCTTCGTTGTGCGGAGTGTCATGACGTTTCGTCATGATGCGACGAAGAAAACCAAGGTGAATCCTTGACACGTCATCCTATTGATTAACTAACTCAAAACCGGCGTTCAAATTGCCGCTGGCCGCACTGCCAGTCCATTCCAACCAGCCATTCCAACGGGCCGCCCCTGGCCCGGGTATAAATACCACCCATTTCTGGGGGTATAAATAACGCACTCGGAGACTCCGGGCAGTCTTCGCGGTCTTCGCCGGTCTCCTCAACTTCTCCGGTCGTCTCCAGCGGTCTCCAAACAAGCGACTCCGGTCGCACAATAAACCTAAGGCGGCAACGCCAGCAATAGTCAAGTAGTCAATGAACATGAAGTAATCAATAAGGTGCAGCCAGTGGACCATCCACCGGCCAAGGCCATCGATCAATATCACCAACCAAGCACCGCCAACTCACACCTCCAGCCACTACCAATCAATACCCTAAGGCACACGTCACTATTGAAGAACCCAATAGGAAATTCAGGATAAAGGCTAACCAAACATAGCGTCAACTAATGTAGGAAATAAGTTGTATAAGTTGCAATATAACTCGACAATTGCTTCTAGGAATTGTAGTATAAGATGTATTAATAAATGTTAGTATTCACAAGTGTTGTGTCAATAAAATAATTTAATAGAAGTCGCATCTTAGGGCAATCTACCACTCTACCTTCGAAACATCTTCTTTCTACGGCGTTGAGTGACAGCACAGAAAATGGCAGAACTTCAGCAACAGTGGAAGCCAGCAGACGAACAACCTTACTTGATGCAAAACGAAGGATTGGTGATCCTCGATGAAGTATTAGAAAGTGACGACGATCAAGATCTCATCGTAGTCATTGACAGTCCTCCTCAACCTAGTACTTCAGAGGCTTCTCGACGTACAGTTCGTCGACATGTAGAACATCGACTCAGCCGGGGCAATGACGCACCTCAAGAAAGCCACCATGACAGAAGGCTCGATACACATGACATCCTTAAAGATCCGAACATTGAGGAATTAGAACATGTGGAACTAGAGCTGAGGGAAACCCGTGATTCGAAATAGCAGGCGGAGCAGCAGGCAAATCAGTTTCTGAAGAGACGCTCGCGCGCGAGACGTAGGTTACTTATACGTCCGAGCAAGCAAAATCAGCCTTGCGCATTCTGTCTCGTTGTGGGTGAACACTACTCGGATGCGTGCCCACGATTCCAAGAAGCAAATACTCGAGAAAGGTTTGTTCTACGTGACAACCGGTGTAAAATGTGTTTGCTACCATTGAACATGCATGCAGAATGTAGGCGAAAGGGGGCTCTTGCAATTGTTGTGGCTCAACCAATCACCATCCAGCCTTGCGCGCTGAACCGGAGCGTGCGGGGCACATGACTAGAGAGATCAACGAGATTTCCCAAAGAATCAGGGAGTACGAGCTTCGCATCGAGCTGCTCACGACAAGAAAAGACCAGCTAAGTTAAATACATTAATGTACACTCTCTCCCGTTCGACCGATGGCAATTCCTCCACTCAGAGCCAACTGTGCTCCACTTAAAGCAAACTTCTGTGCTCTACTTCAGACAACCACCAATGTGCTGTAAAATATATGCACACTGCTGGCCCGAGTGCCAGCTCACACTGATGCTCGCCCGTTCCAGTGGGCTGTAAGATATATGCACACTGCTGGCCCGAGTGCCAGCTCACACTGATGCTCGACTGTTCCAGTGTGCTGTAAGATATATGCACACTGCTGGCCCGAGTGCCAGCTCACACTGATGCTCGACCGTTCCTGTGTGCTGCACGAGATTGCACGCAGGTGGCTCTAGTGCCAGAAATACGCTGATGCTCGTCCTTCTTCGCGTACTATACTAGATTGTAAATGGCGGCCCGAGTGCCATATTCACTGACGTTCGTCTTTCTGGTGTGCTGCATGTTGTTGCACATGATAGATGATTTCCAAGGTGAGATGGTGGTTAGATGATTTCCGTTCACGTTAAGAGATGAATTAGGGGAACGGAACCAGGTAGCTCGTGGCAATAAGACGACAGATAATCGAACAACAGTTCTATGATTTTTCCTCTTTCCTCTAATTGATGGTTATTCCCTTTTTTCTTCTGGGAGATTGCCCTTCGGGCCGGGGGATTATCGCGAATATACACGATTCTTTACTTTCTTTACTTAGCTCATTTTCACTTGTACTGTAGTGCATTTATTCCGCATTTGCTCTCATAATTCTGCTCTATCCTACTCTCTCATTTTTGTGCATTCGTCATGCCTTGCTTAGCCTGGGCTTTTACATACAGCCTTGCGGACGTCGTGGAGCCCCTCACGCCGCAGCATACTATTTTACCATAACACATGCTCCCGCCTGCTGAGAAGCTCGACGGCGTCAGTCCGGTTGCTTGGTGCTTTTCGCCTCGGTCTGAGCGGTCATCAGTGAGACCGTCTGCGCAACGGTGGGAGTCATCACTGGAAGGTTAGCCCTCATCTGAGATTTCACCTGACTCCCGTCGGTGCTGGTTCTGTATATCTGGTATACTACGATTTGTATTTTTGGACGATTGTACGAAGGTATTCGAGAGGTATATAAATATCGTGGGTTTAGCTAATGAAGCTTTTTCTGTTCGAACCCGGTACTTTCCTCACTACCTTTTTTCACGTGGCAGGTTACGGCAGGTTACTCGATAGCAAGTCTATTGTGTCGTGGGGTCTATCATTTATTCTATTGACAACACAAGAAAAACTGAACCGCCTACTTTGGCCATTGTAGAGTTCATTGGCCATTTTAACGTGCTTCAAAGGAACAGGAAAGCAGCGAACAAAAGGAGAAGAAAATGGGAAGAGAAGAGATATCAATACTTCGAGAGAGACTAGAGAAACCCAAGGAATATTCTAGAATGGATTTCTGAATTAACCTTCTACGCAACCTGCATTGTGCTACTACGCCAAGAGCGTCTGGTCAACAAGAAGAACGCCACTGACATATGATCAATTATCGGGAGTGCTCCCATGGAATGTCACTTCGAAATAGGAAGCAATAAAAGTGAAGGTTTATCTGGAGTACACATCTCTTACTAAAATTAGGACTTAGTAGCACATATAGAAGGAAGGAAATAATATATGTAACTGACAGCTAGTACATAAGGAGAATTAAGAACTATTTTTTAAAAATCTGAACGTTTCTAAATAGGTTTTTTTTCAAGCATGGTAGGTCTTTCGTCAATTTGAAACAATTATTACTTTATGTTTATTTATTAATGTCAACTTCTGACGTATATGTCCCGCCTGTGGGTTTTAGCCTTGAACCAGTTAATTGATTGGTTGGGGGATATTGTGGTTGGATGAGGACCCCTCTTTATGGTGGGTATATTGCTGAGGTTGTTGAATATTCGGGTATGACTCCTGTGTGAACGTTGTGTATTGCATATAACGCAATGAGTGTTGTGTTGCAGGCGATTGTAGACTGCGTGCATACTTCTATTAATTGTGCATAGTTCTATTAGTCTTTTTTCAAGTTGTCTTGTCGTTATTGCTGTAGTTGTTATTAGGGTAGTTCCTCGTATATTATTCCAGAATCCTCAGATTGGTCGAACTCTTCCTTATTTTGATTAGGGGTTTCGGCAAGTTTCCGACATGAATTTACATAAAGGGGCCATATTGCAGAAGTTTGGTGTTCTATTTTTGATTTAAGATTTCGTGATATAAGTGTTTTGGTAGCGATGTAAATTTTGATTGTAAGTATTAGAGATTAGAAAAGTTGAAACATGGGTCTGGATTTCCAGATCATGCATGGTAACGTTGAGGTGGAAGGCTTGTCCAGAGCGAGATGCTGCCATAGCTGAACAGACAAAGTGTTGTCACTTGGAAGACGCTTTCAATGATTACTGGGAAGAACAACAAGCAGACAAGACCATATCCATTACAGCACTACTATCCCAACAACTTCACAAAAGACCAATAGAACTAGAATATCGAGCAGCCGCCTTCAATATTTCACAATCCTACTCAACAAACCAAAGCAACAATAATTCCGAAGAAACAACTCAAGATTCCCTCATTCAGTCATCAAATTCCTTAGTGATTGATCAACGCCTAACACTACCAGAATTCCATGGCAACTCATCGGAATTCGGTTCATTTTGGGAGCTCATTGAAGAACTCGTTAACAAACAACCCTACTCCAATATAAGAAAGCTCTCCACTGTTCTCAGTTGCTGCAAAGGGGACGCAGCTATATGCCTACAGATGATTCCTCGAATAGGGGACTCATATGAAAATGCAACTGAACAATTAAGAGATCAACAAATGAACCAAGGAGAATAACCATACAAATGATCCGTCAGCTCACATCAATGAAGCCATGTAATAATGACCCACGTACCCTACGTAACAATCTTAATGACATCAAAGCCATCACAGCCACTACGCAAAAACAAGGCGAAATGGTGGACGATACCTACATGACTACTTTAGTAAAAAAAACATTCTAAAACAAATTCAAGAAGAAGCAGCTCATAAGCAATTCGACAGCGGGAGAGAATGGGCAATGAAAGATCTCATTACAAACTTATCCACCATAATCAAACGAAGAGATTTATTGAAAGTCGCAACGAACATCTACATGAAACATACTCCATTTTTCACACGCGCACCCGTGAATCAAGAATGCTCCATTGCGTTGGGTGCGGAGGAGCCCATCGAATTGAAAACTGTGACAGATACGGTAGAATTCCACAATAGGTAGAACGTCTCAAATCTTCAAGTGCCTGTCGGAAATGTATCAACCCACGTAACAAGACAATCTTGTTACAGACCAGACTGCGCTAACTGTGGTGGACATCACAGCACAGCAATATGCAAAGATCCCCAACTAACACCTCCAGCCCTTATCTACCAATGCCCTAAGACACAAATCAATATTGAATAACCCAATACGAATCCAGAGGAAAGGCTAACCGACCGCAACGTTAACTAATGAAGAAAATAAATTGTATAAGTTGTAGTGTATGTAATGTCAATAATTGCTCTTAGGAGCTGTGACATAAGAGATGTTAATTTATTTACTATTTATAATTGTTGCTTCAATAAAGTAATTTAATGCAAGGCGCACCATAGGGCAGCCTACCACTTTACCTTAGAAACAGATGGCTACGGAATCCATAATTTCCCGAATTTCAGCATCATGTATGACTATGCTGTCCCAATCGAGGTTTACGCAAATGATAAACTCATGCACAACGGAAAAGAATCCCGCAAGGCCCATCCGGTTTGTGAAGCAGTGTATTGTAATTTCTATTGAGAACGTATTTACAACACACAATGCTGAACTATGTCGGAAACCATGTTCACCAGGTCTTCGGCGATACTTTTCGTCTTCATAATACCATGACCTTGATGCCTCACTACGTTTATCGAATTCCTACTCCGCATCTTAACATTCTCAAACTGCAGAACGTTGGCAACATGCAGCTCACATCGAAAATCACCGCTACGTGTACGCCCCTTTTGTCGACAACGGTTCAGAACTATTCAAAAATTTTGATATGTGTCATGTCAATTCTTTCATTTCTTTACTTCTCAGGAGGGCGCTCATCAAAACTCATGAAGAAGCCTGTATGATAGCGACTGTCATCAAAACCTGCTCGCTGTACGAAGCAATGGTAATCACGCTGCCGCCCTGCAACAGAAGACTGCGTTTTTCTTAAAGATTACGAAAGTCAAGTATCGGGATGATTTCAATGAAAATCGACGGCATTCCCTTCCATTGCTATAAAAATGCGGGATTTGTCACACGGGACCATCAATTAACTTTTGATTTGGTACATAGATGCTATCTAACCGACAAGGGTCGACACCTGCAACAGGAATGCGTGTAAAAACAAGTAAAGAGCCAACAAAAGCGAAGGGTGCTCGTTCATAACGAACAGCCCATGGCAAGTCGCAACCCTACATACACCTTTTGTACGCCAAGCTGAGGATTTTTAAAAATCGTAGCTGTTTTCTTTGCAAAAATGTTGCCTCTTTCACGCAGTTTCGACGCCTACAACGGTCTCCACAAATTCATTTGTCACAGTTGGGAAGGTGTCGTTCCAGTGGGAGCAATAATCCAGCAAAGTGATTGCTCCGCATTGACCACGATCTACCTTCACCCTGGACGAACTGTCGCACGGAATAATCTCAAATTTACTTCCGTAAGGACGATTGTGCCACATTTACCGTCGTCATCGGCAACATTCGCGAAAGCGAACGCTTTCATCTCAATAATTAAACTCACATCAAGGACAACTCACCCCTTCTCTTCCACCCCCCAACATGGACTATGCGACTATGCAAGGCTTCATGTGCATGTAATCCCTGCAGTGTAGCAGATCGGATGAAACCAACACCTCTCCCAGTGATTTCAAAAAACTTTGTAATCTTTTCTGAAACTAACAAGTATGAGGACGAACATCGAATCAGTTCTACAGTTACATCTAGTAGTCGAATATGAAAATTATAATTTTCCATTCTAACAGCACCTGCGCAATCAAGACAAGCGATCTAATCGGATACCACAACTACATCGCAGGAGACGAATTGAATCTCTACTGTCAATCCAGTGAAGGTGAAACAACTGCCAACATCAAGAGCCCTTCTAGACACAGTAGACACTCGGCCCTTATCTGGTTGCATCAACAACATGGAACTCCACTTCGACACTTCCACTGTCTACATGATATGCAACGCATCCTGTTCCGGAAGGACCAAGCTCTTCACAGTGCAGGGTCACTTCTTCACGTTGGCAACAAGCTCATCAGGAAAGAGTCACAATCGAAGGCAAATACAAGAGGCGTTCCAGCAAACACCACATTTCTGAGACCTTTATCAAGCGAGCTCAAAAGGTCTGATAGCAAATTCACCGACTTACTGTCGACCAACTTCTTGGCAAAAGCTATTCATTCTTTACCATTAAATATAATTGCAAACGCTTTTTAAGAAGTATTACTGACACGCTTTTTCGCCGCTTGAGGTTTTGCAGTTTTGCAAAATAACCATACAAAATCTGAGAGCCCTGCGAAGCATTCTGAATTTTCAAAATCAATCAATCTTATCACAAAATCACTCTTCAATATTCCAAAGTTCTTATTCAATAACGCAAAAGAGCATAATGAACACTTTACGAAATGCAATACTTTGCTTTATCGAGCTTAATGGTTTTCTGTGAGATGTCAGAACCCGCCGTGTGGAAAGATTTGGGGCTTGCCTCATCTCGATGTCCACTTCATGTCAATAAATCTTTAAAGAAATTACCATCCAAACCACCAACGTCAGAAGAATGTCTTCAAATATTACTACACAAGACATGCTGATTCAAGAAACAAATATATGTGAAACTTTAATTCACACCGCCACGGAACATGGAATACACACCAAGCCTAACGAAACATTCCAAGCAGAGTCAATCGCGAACAAAGCAAGGTCTCTCTCCAACAGAAACTAGACAAAATCAAGTGAATAATTTCTTCATCATCATTTGTTTTCTGCAATGGTAATCCTAAGGTATCTGGATGTATATGACAATATGGTGGCAATACTCGTCAATTTTCGAAATACTACAACGATTTGCAATAGAATTTAGTGCTATGAAGTCTATGAGAAGCATACTGTTTGGTAGCATTCTCCAACGTAGTATGTATTACATGGTAGACCTGCGTTGCTTCTGCTGTAGACTCAGCTGCCACACTCACCTGATCGACTTCCACGAACCAACGTTCTGTCCCTACCATTTGCTAATGTAAATTTGTGAACAACCTTCTCTCTTTTCTTATATGATTACAAATTAGTCCCATTTTAGCAGCCCCATTGTAAGTACCGATTTAAGTGTAATTTTGTAATAAGGAAGACACAGTTACATCAGTACATTAACGAAAAACTTCCCCTGCCACTCCGACGCACACTACTCACAATCAGGTCAAACCCCTCCTCACTTCGCACTCAAGGGAACCGTCGAGGAGAATTTGGAATTAGGACCCCCTCCCTCTCCCAAGTCCATGAAACGACCCTCTGCAAAAGACGAACTATGAATATGTTCAATTCTTCCCCAAAACTGTTCATAAAAAAGCCGTGCTACCCCATCAACCCACGGATCTCTTTCACTGAGGGTCCTCTCTCACTGAAAGATCTCCAGCCAGCGATTCGGGGCCGCCTCCAAAACTAAGCCCCTTGTTTCGCTCCAGGATAGCGTGGCTAACTACCTGGAGGTCTATCGTAGCCCACACGACAGAGCCTGGAAAGCTAATCGTAAACCCTCAATATGCCGAGAACAGCAATATGGATGGGCCTCATTCCCCTGAACCTGAGGGAGCCCCCAATACGGCAGCGTTGGGTAGGACCGCTCGGGAGAGGCTGCTAGAATCTCAGGGCCCAGATAGGCTGCCTAAACGGAGAAGGACTAAGATAGCGATCTGTACTTTAAGCGCACTAACGCTTGCATCCAAAGCTAACATCGAAGATCTGATGATGCAGGCCAGGAAGATCAAGTAAGACGTCATCGGTCTGACCGAGACGAGAAGGCACCGTCCGCTACACGCCGTTTTCGATACTGGAGAAGAACCGTTCCTTGGAACATGCGACAACAGAGGCGTTGGCGGTGTGGGTGTCCTCGTCAACACGCACTTGGCCATAAACATCGATTAGTACGAAAGCCTTAAAACCCGAATCGAACGTTTGAGATTGAGAAGATCTGGTTCAATTCTTGCTTTGACAATCTTCGTCGCCTACGCACCAGCATCCAGCTACGACGAAGAAGAACACCAAGCAACCTATATGGAATTGGAGAAGCTCTACAGGGAAGATCATACCTCCTTCAAGGTCATCGTCGGCGACTTCAACGCTAAGATTAGTCCAAGAAGGACGGCTGAAGTACTTCACATCGGTACTCACGGAATGGAATGGAGTTGAATGAGCAGGGTGGGAGACTGTCGGAGTTTATCATGTCGACCAACACCATCCGTGGTAACTCACAGTTTCAAAAGCCCCCTCACCTTCGTTGGACTTGGAAGTCTCACGTGATGGACAGTTCCATAACGAGATAGACCACATCATCTTCAATCGAAGGTTTTGCCTGACCGACGTCGCTGTTGCTCCAAAGTTCTACACGGGATCGGACCACCCGCGCAAGATTCCATTTCTCGATGCGTGTTGAGAGAGCAGCGAAGTTCAGGAAGCGAAGCCCCAGGACAGTCATCAACTGGGATCACTTCACTTCTCTTGTCAGCTTATGGGAGGATTCCGTTATCGAGAACATCGACGAGGAATATCATCGGCTCGTTGAACACCTTTAC